GTTTGTGGCTTATCTCACTAAGCATGATCCCTTCCGGCTCCATCCAGTTGCTGCCAAAGACATGAGCTGATCATTTTTGATCGCTCAGTAATACTCCGTTGTGTATATGTGCCACCTCTGTTTAATCCGGTCATCTACTTTTGGCATTCGGGTTGACTCCAGAGAACATGGCTCATTTTATCCCCCCAATTCCCCAGGGTTAGCCCTGAAGCCTTAGCAGCAGTGAATGGCAGGGCTGGTCCCTCAGCCTGCCAGGAGTCAGGCCCCAGTCCCTGCTTCAGGGGGCCTGTTTCGCACCTCCCTGGGCAGGTTGGCCCTCACCCTGTCCTTTTCAGTTTTTCGCTGACCTGCCTGCCTGATGGCCTGACCACCTTGCAGGTGAGCGGCCTGTCAGGGTGCGTTCTTCTCCCTTTCCCACCTGACATCTTTACTCCTCCCTCTCACTCTCTCCGAGCCCCGCGTCTCCTCAGCGTCTCCCTGATGTCGCCATGTCTGTTTCGCTCTCCCGCTGGGGACGATGTTTCCTCAGCTGGGGCTTCTGCCTGAGAGCTCACGGGGACGGACGCCCTGGCCGTGACTGTGAGGTCTGGGGGGCGGATGAGCTCAGGCTCACGCGTGCTCTGCTCTGGCTCATGCTGTGAGGTGGGGCTGTGTCAGCGCCTGCCCGGGAAGGCCCATTGCTGCTGTTCTCCCAAAATGGGGACCTCAGCCCTTGTGAGCCACAGCCGGACAGCAGCTTCTGTTGTGTGGTGATTTCTGAGTTTAGTTGGACCCCGGGGTCCCTCTTTCTTCACTCTCCTCACTGTGCCCTGAGAGGCCCCTTCCCCCCTCCTCTGTGGCTTTCCCTCCCTCAGATCTGGTCTGCTGGTCATTTTCCAGGTGCTCCAGTCTCCACAGAGCTGACCATTTACACCCTCCTGCGCCATCTCTGGGGACTCCCGGGGTCTCCCCTGGCTTTGTCTCCCACCCTCCACCCTGGGGCGATGCCCCTGATCCCATCAGAAGTCGCTGACCCCCTCTGCCAGGCAGACCAGGGGGAGCAGAGTGGAGATGTCAGCTGAGAAAATCCCATGGCAAAGGCACGTGAGGGTCACGTCTGGCGCTGGGTTGGGATGCAGGTGACCTGTCCTCTCACTCTCCCCTCCGCTGCCTTTGTGTTTCCGAACTTTTTCCTAAGGGAATAATAATAAGCACTTCAAGGGGGGTAAGGGGGGTCCTATTTGCTGAGTGGTGAGAAGCGCTTACAAATGGACATGGCTTCCTCTCATGGCCGCCTCCAGGGCCAGGCCCCCTGGGCTAACCCCAGTCCGTGCGTCCTTCTCTGCTCCGGGGCCGCCCTGCCGGTCCTCAGACCTGCCGGCCGCAGAGAGGACACAGCCAGGCTGGTCCAGAACCCACAGGAGAAGCCCATGTTATGAGGACACAAGGCTCTCAGCCAGGCGGCCTGGGCTTCCTCTGTGTCTTCCTCCCTGTCTGTGTGTCTGACTGTCTCTGTCCCTCAGTCTCTCCCTGCTTCCCTCTCTCCTCTCTCCCCTCCCCTCCCTCTCTTACTGTCTCTCTCTCTCACACACCCCTCAGCTGTCTCAGCACAGGGCTGTGGTCTCTCCC